CGGGGGAGCGGCGCCAGCCGTGGGCACGGCTGGTGACCAGGGATAAAGGATGCTGAAGTCAAAGTGCTGTAAGCCCATCTCGGGGTGTGAGCACCCTGTTCTCACCCAGAGGGAATTAACTCCTTGGAGTTTAGGGGGAAGGCTTTGGGAGTCTGCTCAGAAATCCTGACTCCCTGGCAGTGCCCTGCCTGGTTCCCCCACCCCAGCACAACTGCTTCTGGAAAAGACCCTGGCTTGAGTTTGCATCCTCACCTTGACACATACACACTTGTCTCTTTTTTTTTTTTTTGGAAGCTCATTTGTGGCCAAATGAGGAAAACCTCAGCTATCAACTTTTTTTGGTGTATACCCACAGTTACTCTGCATCAGCACCTGTGTCAGCTTCCCACGCTGCTGCAACAGCAGGTGCCAAATCAGCCCCACAAAGATTGTCACCCGCCTCACCTCATGAAATTAAGTGGATGTACTAATTCATCATTCTTGTTCCCTCTCTGCCAGACCACAAAGGAAATCTCACGTTACGATCCTCATCGCTTACAGAAACAGCAATATTGATTTGGAACTTACAACAATTACAAGTTCTGATTCTGAATCCTCTTCACAGAGACTAGTGCCTCCTGCCACCACCACCGGAGTTGCAACACCTACAAGTTGTCTTGCTAATCCGTAGAAAATAATCATAAAAGAAGTGAAATAAGAAACTCAAAAGTGGCTTGTATTTTAGTATTTTGCCTCCAAGATTTCTTCATCAAAACTGTGTTGCTGTGAATTTATTGTAAAAATAGACCTTTAAAAATAATTTTGGCAACTCTGTCTCAAAGATGCATGTACAAGCTACCCATGCATTCTTCTAGCCTAGCTTTGCACTTACGTTCTGACATGCAAGACAGACATTAATATCATCATATATTTGAGTGGGTGTTGGACTAGAATTAGAAAAAAACCCAAAACAATAAATCATATAATCACTGATGAAAGGAGAAGAATGCAAAATCACAGAGTGGCTGAGGTTGGAAGGGACCTCTGGAGGTCACCTGGCCCACTGCCCTGCTCGAGCAGGGACACCTTGAGACCATTGCCCAGGACCATGTCCAGACAGGCTTTTAATATCTCCCAGGAGGGGGGGATCCACAGCCTCCCTGCACAACCTGCAAGATAGATTTAAGCAGGGCAAATTGAAATAAATGTTGAGGGATTCTGCACACTCTCCCATTTTTTATCTTCAAAATTAGCAGTGTCACTTTGCAGACAAATTCTGAAGACCACAGATTGATTCCACCTGTGGAAAGTACAGCAAGGATTTTTTAATGGTTTTAGCTCAACCAGTTATCCCTATGGTCAAACATCAAGTTCTGCTGATTACAGAATTATGATAGCAAGTGAAATTTATATATACAAAGTTCACAGTCCCTTTTTAGAAGCTAAATTGACTAGAAACCTACATAAATGTTCCCCAAAATATGCCTATTTTCTCTTTCTCCCACACTGCTTTACAATATATCCACTTAAAATGCCCATCAGGCATTTATTTTCTGAAGATTTTGGATTCTTTCTGACGGTACAGTAACTTTCAATCCCAGAAAGCAGGAACCTTCTGCCCCACAATGAATTGCAGATAAGCAATTATGTATGGTCAGTACAGGGCAGTTGCTCCCAGCCAGTCCTTCCAGCTTGTGACACTTCTATGTTCTGTGGTGTCTGCTGGACACAGCTGGAACTGGCTGGAAATGCAAAAGATTTAAGTCTGTGTACTTTTTCCCTTGCTATAGCTTCTTCTAAAGGTGTGTGAACAAATGTACCCTCTCATGTAATTTTATCTGGATCATAAAACAATAGCTTCAGATGGGATTTCTATTCAATTTCTTAAATGCATAGCTGAAAAAATACTTATTTGTTTAACTGTTGCTGCTTATCTTGACATTTTCAAGACATTAAATCTGCCCAAAATTATTATTATCTTTTTTTTTAACAAGCATAAGGCCAGATGTGCTTATTTGTGTATTCCTTAGAGACCTGTACAGCACCTGGGATGAGTCAGTGGGATCCCCTACAAACAAGCACAGTCCAATAACTAAGGATTTAGAAGACCGAATTTAGCTCCTTGAGCAGCTATAGATTTCCTGATCAACTCTGTCCAACTCGGTTTTATAAATTAACACTAGAGGACAGCAATGACACTGTCACTACCCTGCCTGCCTTGCCTAGATAAACATGTTAAAGAATATAGAACGCCTGGATTTAAGGTATTTAAGCTGAGTTCCACCACCTGACATGCCCAGGGCTGTCAGAAGCAATCTGGCTCACCTTTTCTACCCCAAACAGCTGGAGTACTGTCTGCCCACAATATAAAAAGGACATCAAGCTATTGGAGAGTGTGCAAAGAGGAAAGCCAAGAGGGTGAAGGGTCTGGATGGGATGACATATGAGGAGCAGTTGAGGACACTTGGATTATTCATCATGGAGAGGAGGAGGCTGAAGGGTGACCTCATTGCAGTCTATGGCCTCCTCAGGAGGGGGAGAGATGGGGCAGGTACTGATCTCTTCACTTTTTTGGCCAACTGCAGGAGGAAGCTGGATCAGGAGAGGTTTAGGTTGGATATCAGGAAAAGGTTTTTCACCCACAGCGTAGTTGAGCACTGGAACAAGCTCCCCAGGGCAGCGGTCACAGCACCAAGCCTGCCTGAGCTCAGGAAGTGTTTGGATGATGCTCTCAGGCACATGGTGTGATACTTGGGGTGCAGGAGTTGGACTCCATGGTCTTGATGGGTCCCTTCCAACTCAGCATATTCTATGATTCTATGACTTCTGTCAGTACTGACCTACCACACCACATACATCTCAGCAAGAAACCCAATCCCAGTCACACTTCTGTGTCTGTATTTTCATTGTTTAGGAAAGGAAAAACATATTACTTGCTAAAAGGGATTTGAATAACAAAAACATCAAATCCCACATGTTATGCCTGCCAACTCAAGTGAACAGCAACAGCAGACACTGGACCTCCAGCTCAACAGACACTTCCTGAGTCCCATCACGACAAGGGATGATGTCAGGTACACAAAGAACAGTCCAGCTGTTAAGGCAAATGTGAGCAGAATTTTCAGCTGTGCATAGTCAAGTGGAGACCTGACCACATCAGTGTGCCATGTTCCTGTGCCTCATGCTTGGAACTAGATGACCTTTAAGCCCCCTTCCAACCCAAACCATTCTATGATTATATGGTTCTATGTTGAGTACTCACTGCTTCCAGCAGATTCTCAGCAAAAGGCAAACAGAAACACAAAGAACTTGTTTTCCTTTTCCTTTCCCTTCCTTTTTCCTTTCTTCTTCCACTTCCACTTGGTGACTACTTCATTTGTATTTATTGTGGCATGAATTAGGTTTTTGTTTGTCTGTGCAGAGGAAATTCTAATTTGTAACTGCTCAGCAGTGGCAATTTGTGATGGAGGAATGACCCGACATGGGGGGCAAGTTCCCCTGCAAGAAGGGATCAAACTAGCTGAAAGCAGGGATGCCAGAGGCAAAAGGATTCCTTGCAAGGGAGTAAAGTTTCCCTTGGTGATGATACAAGAAACAAAGCCAGGATAGCCTTGTAGTAATTCTTGAAAGGAGCACTCAGGGTCCCAAGTTCAGAGGCCACTTCTGGGCAGCAGAACTCGGCCAGGATATGGACCCATGGCCAGGCTGGGTGACTCATGAGACCACTCTCAGGATGGTGGTGCAAGAGTACTTAAGGAACTGGCTCCTGGTTTGTGTTTGCAGGCTCCTTGTCTGCTGCCTATGGCAGCAGGACTCTGCCCAATGCATCATTTGTTTAGGATTTCTTTATATTTAAGCACAAACCTGTGTTTAATTTCCTTTGATGGGTACCATAAAAATTACACAGCGTCACAGAATCCTAGGGGTTGGAAGGGACCTCGAAAGATCATCCAGCCCAACCCCCCTGCCAGAGCAGGGTCACCCAGAGCACATCACACAGGAACGTGTCCAGGTGGGTTTTGAATGTCTCCAGAGAAGGAGACTCCACAACCTCCCTGGGCAGCCTGTCCCAGGGCTCTGTCATCCTCACAGTAAAGAAGTTTTCTCTGATGTTTACGTGGAACCTCCTGTGTTCCAGTTTGCACCCATTGCCCCTTGTCCTATCACTGGACATCACTGAACAAAGCTTGGCTCTGTCCTCTTGACACTCGCTCTTTACATATTTGTAAATACTGATGAGGTAGCCCCTCAGTCTCCTCTTCTCCAAGCTAAAGAGACCCAGCTCCCTCAGCCTTTCCTCAGAAGGGAGATGTTCCACTCCCTTCATCATCTCTGTGGCTCTGTGCTGGACTCTTTCAAGCAGTTCCCTGTCCTTCTTGAACTGAGGGGCCTCATGGTCATCCTCCTGTCCACCAGGACCCCCAGGTCCCTTTCTCCTACACTGCTCTCCAGCAGCTCAGCCCCCAACCTGGACTGGTACATGGGCTTGTTGTTCCCTAGGTGCAAGACTCTACACTTGCCCTTGTTGAATTTCAGCAAGTTTCTCCCTGCCCAACTCTCCAGCCTGTCCAGGTCTCACTGAATGGCAGCACAGCCTTCTGGTGTGTCAGCCACTCCTCCCAGTTCAGTGTCATCAGCAAACTTGCTGAGGGCACACTCTGTTCCCTCATCCAGGTCCTTGATGAAAATATTGAATAGTACCAGTCCCAGTACCAACCCCTGAGGGACTCCACTAGTCACAGACCTCCAACTAGATTCTGTCCTATTGACCACAACTCTCTGACTTCTTCCTTTCAACCAGTTCATGATCCACCTCAGTACTTGACCATCAAGACCACACTTCCTCAGTTTATCTACAAGGATGCTGTGGGAGACAGTTTCAAATG